TCAAGAAACTGTATTTGTTTAAATAATATTTTAAAAATTCATCATTTTTGTTTAAATTTTTGCACTAAATGTTGTATTTTTCTGCAACTTCGTGTACGTAAACTATGGACAAAAATAGAGAATACGTGTTTTTGGAATTTTTTGTTTGTTGCAATGTTTATTAGATATATAATTTAACATCACCTTTTGTGAAGAAGGGCAATCAGCATTTTTATTACAAATATCATTATTTTTACAATTACGAAAAGCCCCTGGGCTAGTCCACTACACCTGATTCCAAAGAAGAACGGAGACTGACGACCATGCAGAGACTACCGTAAGTTGAACGCAGCAACTGTTCCGGACCGCTACCCCATTCCTTTCCTGCAGGACTGCGCCCATCTCCTCCACCGGAAGAGGATATTCCAAAGACAGCTATAATATGACCCCTTCCGGCCTTTTCGAATTTGCATTCATGAACTTCGGACTACGTAATGCAGCTCAAACGTTCCAGCGATTCATGAACGAGGTGACCTCCGGCTTCTGCTAGGTGACTTCTGCTTCGCCTACATCGACGATATCTTGGTTGCATCAGAAAACGAGGAACAACACTTTCACCACCTCGAAGCCCTATTCCAACGCCTTCGCGAGTATGGTTTGGTAATCAACCCCTCCAAATGCACTTTCGGAGCCGCGAAAGGCAATTTGGATTACCTTCCGGATTAGGCAAAGGTCATACGTTATACGTAGACAATTGGTATATACACTGGTGGACAAAATTATAAGACACCCCATTTATTCTTTAAAAACACGTGTATATGTGTGTGCACGTAACAAGAACGATGAAGAGATGGACGAGTAGTATTTTTCGATCTCTACCACTTTATAAACAATCACAAAGCGTCGAAGTACTTCCAAGAAATGTAGTGTGTAGATTTTCGGGTAGGACAAAATTATAAGACACTGATGTTAGTCGACTGCAGACAGTTGTTGTATCTAAATGCGTTCATGTGTTTCGTACTGTAAATTCTCTGTTGTAGTGATTTCTTTATTATAAAACATAAAAACATAGGAAACGTTAGTAAAAACATTTAAACTTAAAGAATGCCACGTGGTAACCATTTAACTGAGGAGGAAAAAATAGAAATCCTTCAAAGAAGAGCAGAGGGAGAGAATTTAAAACAAATTTCACTAAAAATAAAAAGAAGTAGATGTGTAATTCGTAATTTTTTAAATAATCCAAAAAATTACGGAAAAAGGAAGAGAGCGGGAAGACGATCATCCCTTACATCGAGAGATAAAAGAGCAATTTTAAGGTGCGCATCAAATTCAGCTCTTACACCTAGACAAATTTTAGCAGAATGCCGTTTGAGCGTATCTGTAAAGACTGTACAACGAGTTATACAAAAGGCACAGCACTTGAAACGGAAGAAATTTGCTGTTAAACCACCTTTATCGGTAGTACACAAACAGCGTCGACTGGATTTTGCTGTTAATCATCTGCAGTGGAAGAAAAAGTGGCGAAAAGTGTTGTTTACTGATGAAAAGAAAATGAATTTAGATGGACCTGACGGTTGGAAATATTATTTTCACGATATACGAAAGGAAAAAAGAATTTTAAGTCGCCGTCAGTGTGGTGGAGGATCCGTGATGTTGTGGGCAGGCGTTGGGTATAACGGGAAGACCGAAATTAAGTTCATTGATACTAGACTCAAAAATAGTGGTTACATAAAACTGATAAAACAGCAAATTAGAAATCATGCTCGCAGAGTTGCTGGGGAAAATTTTATATTTCAGCAGGACAATGCACCTGTTCATACAGCCAAAGCCGTACAAAATTATTTTCAAACAGAAAATATTCCAATTTTAGATTGGCCAGCACGGTCTCCGGATCTCAATATTATAGAAAATGTGTGGGGTCAACTCAGTAGAACAGTATACGAAGGTGGCAAACAATATAATAACCTTCATGATTTAAAGGTGGCAATTCTGAAAAGTTGGGCTGATATAGATCAAAAATATATAAAAAAATTATATAAAAGTCTTCCGAAACGAATGATCGAAGTTGTTCAAAACAAGGGAGGCACTACCCATTATTAACATTTTACATTGTCTGAAATTTTTTCCTTTTTTATGTAGTATCTTATAATTATGTCCAAACGAAATTGTAATATCCTTGAATAAATTAGGAATTTGTTATTATTCTTTTCAAAATTTTTGAAGATGTTATTACAAAAATAAACAGTTTTCATTTGATGAAATGTATTTTTACATAACTATAATATTAAATACCTAAACCTATAAATTTCAGGGTGTCTTATAATTTTGTCCAGCAGTGTAACCTCGCACTTTTTATTCTTTTGCATCAAATTCTAACTAACGCTTGTGGAACGGTACGTAAAAGGCGAAAAGGCATGCCAATTATCCAAAATAAGTTAAAAACTGGTGAAACAAGTTTCGCTTCTCGAGATATTTATTAGCGATGAGATGGTGTAATAAAAGAAAAGTATACATGCTATCCTCTTTCCACACCGAAGAATTTGTTGAAACAAAACGTTGTTTCCGGACCCGAGAAATGATTATGAAACCAAAGTCTGTGTGTAATGTTGTTGATTACAATAAATTAGTGGGAACTATAGACAAAACAGATATGGTTATTAGCACTATTCACTCACAACGCAAAGCGTTGAAATGGTTTTTTTCATGTAATTGACATATGCGTTTGGAACGCTTATTGCTTATATAAGTTAAAAACTAGAAAACAAATATCAATGGCAAGCTTTCACCTACAGTTAATTCGCCAACTTTTAAACCATTACCAATCTGACAATAAGAATACCATTACGAACAAATCAGAAGAAACGAATCCACTTCGCCTTACTGGAAGACACTTCCCGTCGCTATATACAAATGAAAAGACAAAACGAAAGAATCCGCTGCGAAAGTGCGTAGTCTGTTAAAAAAATGACAAGAAGAGCAGATCACGATACCAAATTTGGAATGTTGGCCTGTGTATAACACCATGCTTTGAAAAATATCATACACAGTTACATTATTAAAGGCCATTATAAGCATACAATTATATTATGTTATATTGTTTTATTATATTGCATAATGTTATTTGCTCTCATACTGTAAATTCAAGAGCGCATACTGAAACGTTATAAATACCCTGGAATACCTTTTATTTATAAATACCTTTTGAAGAAAAATTCTTTCGTTCGAAAACATTCAGCAGCTTGTGTTCTCTACCACGGTACTCCTGCTGACGATCGGCGTCGCGTACCTACCGTACAGTGATGTCGCGGCGCGCGGCATTACCCCGTTCAGTGGGAGTACCGCGGCGGAAAACCTGTCCGTGGCGAAAGGGTTAACCCTTTGCACTCGTATATCCACTCTCAACCACCAAAGCCTTTTTACCGTTCCGCTCGTATGTCTGCTCTCAGCCACCACAGCACGGAACTATACGAATCGTATACTGTATGCATTCATGTATCAGATTTCACTTTTCCTATACGAACCTGAATGCCTAAGGAACCTATTCACGAACTAATACAGTGCTCCATCGACTGGAGATAACGAAATCCAATCTAAACAAATGTTGTCACCCAGCGATCGCCATGCAAGACGCAGCGGCGAGTCAGTCCGCTTTTCAACCTAATGAAATCGACAACGTTCGGCAATACCTCGTAGAATTCCAAAGAACATTTTATAAATTGTATTTAACAGTAATTAGACATTCTCTCTTCTTAAAATAGTCCAAAATTATTCCCCAAAATGGCAAAAAGAAAGTTACCGCAAGAAGTGTTCGGTGAAACTGACGATAGCGATGAAGACTTTTATTTTGATCTTCCGAATACTGATTCTGATAGAGAAAGTGATAACTATTGCAGTGACTCTGATAGTGACATTGGGTATCCGGACGGAGAAAAAATGAATAGAAATTACAAAGAGTATTATAATACTAACCGTCCTCGTGGCCCAAGGCGCGAGGCAGGGTTCGAACCCGGACAGTTCGATCCCGGTCCCAGTCGTTTTAACGACAGGGACGAGCGTGTATACGCTCCCGAAAGGACTCAACGTCCTAAAGTCGCGCGACCAAAACCTAAAGCGTCGACTCGACCACCTAAGGTCGAAGGGGAGAAGGTGTCTGGGCTTCCGAAACCTCAGCACCTGTCGACGACTGCCACCGCGCCCAAGAACGATCCCTTATACAGGGACGCGGTGATGCCTGAGCCCGGCAGAGAGGCTAGGCCAATTGCAAGAGAGGTCGTGGTTTACCCGGGTTTTTACTCGATAGACCAGATAGCGAGACAGATCCATCGCTCTGTTTCTGCTGTAGATAACGGATTCAATCGCCGAGTACCTGAGTCGGCCTTGTTTTATTATGCTGCTGCTCTGGCTTACGCTAGATTACTCAAGGTTCTCGACATGTCAGGTCGACCTCTTACACACGACGAAGACTCCTTTATGCGTATGATTTACGCTGGCAATTATAGTGTTCCATCATTATTAAGTTACTTTATGGATGGACTGGGTAATACAAAGTAAAAACTATTGACGGTGGCCTACGTGCCGACCGCTTGGGTCTTGCAATAAATTGCTTAGCCACGGCATAGGTTTCGCGACCGAACAGACATAGTTCCCGTGAAGCGACAAGTAAGGCAGTTAACAATATACAGCGACAGTGAAACAGAAGAAAATGATGAAAATGAGAATAGTAATATAAACGAATTTACTATTTGGAGAGACGTTACGTACACAGATCAGCCACAATCAAAAACTAATTTTTCGACGGGATCGAAGACTGTTGGACCGAACGTACCCTTGAATTGCACGCAACCTATCGACTTTTTTAGACTCTTCTTCACAGACACACTGCTTGAAAAAATTGTACTAGAGACAAATAAATATGCCCAAAATAAAATAGAAGAGCAGACCATATCAACTCGATCAACGTGGAATAAGTGGATCGATGTGACGAAGGAGGAGTTAACAGCTTTTTGGGTGTAGTCCTGAACATGGGTACTATACCAGTTCCTAACATGCAATATTATTGGACTAAGGATTATATTGGAAACATACAATTTTTTAGAGGTACGTTTCGGAGGGAAAGATTTTTCCAAATATTTTGGATGTTACATCTAAATGAAAATGTTTCCACAAATAGAAATGTATTAACGAGAATCCAAAAAGTGAGCAACTTTCTGGATTATATTGGTGACATGTTCCGAGCGTATTTTACACCGGATAGAGAAATATCCATCGATGAGTCTGTTGTGAAATTCAAGGGCAAAATTAGCTTTATTACATATAATCCTAAAAAGCCCACCAAATGGGGAATCCGGATTTATGTATTGTCAGACTCCCACACAGGATACATATATGCTATGCTTCCCTACTATGGCAGCGTTACTACAGATATTCTCATCCGTCCAGACCTCCCTGTCAGTTCGAGAATTGTCTTACAACTTTATCACACGCTGTTGACCGCAAATCCTGAGGCAAAGGGATACCACATCTTTACAGACAGATTTTTTACAGGGATCCCATTAGCGCAGGAACTACTAAAACTAAACTGTTATTTAACTGGCACAATTAACATAAACAGGAAATATGTAGCAGCTGTGATTAAAAAACCAGCTTTAACAAAAAATAATACTGTCGCTGCCTACCGATCAGGCGATATTCTACTATTAGCGTGGAGAGATAAAAGAATAGTAACCATACTAAGCAGTTACGACACATCGGGTACGACAATTGTAGAAAGAAGGAAGAAACAAGCTGGGACCATCAACATTATCAAACCAAACGTGGTTATAAATTATAATAAGAACATGGGAGGTGTGGATAAGGCTGACCAATTAGAAACTTCGTACTGTTTTATGAGAAAATCGTGCAAGTGGTGGCGAAAACTTTTTTTCTGGGGATTAGAGATTTCTGCAATAAATAGTTATATTTTATATAAGATGTCAGCTAGAAGGGAGAGCAGAAAACCTATGCCACATTTTATGTTCGTCCGAAAATTGGTGGCACAACTGGTAGGTGATTTTCGTGACGGAGCAGATTCAAAACCAGGAAGACCATCGACCTCCGATAAGAATGACAGACTGAATGGAAAACTGCATATATTGCGGCATTGCCAAAATGTAAAAAGTAAAGATTGCACTGTATGTTCAAACAGAAAGATTAAGGGTGGAAGGCACCAAACCAATTATTTTTGCGATACATGCACTCGAAACCCTGGCCTACATGTTGGAGAGTGTTTTGAAAAATATCACACGAAGGAGAATTATAAAACATAATTTTTTACAAAAACATATCACTAGATGAGTGTATTGAATAAAGATATATCTAAAGTTCACAAAAAAATTACTAAATCTTGTTTATACATCCTAAACTTGCGTGTTATGTATCCCTGCTCTATCGACGGAAATTAATTCCGAGCAGTACGATACCCAACTCCAAATTTAATCCGAGCGCAAAGGGTTAATTGTTTTTTATCCCGTACGTGAGACGAAACTTCATACGGATGCAAGTTCAATCGGGTACGGTGCCATATTATTTCAGCGCGTGAGTGGTGATTTACGCGTAGTCGCTTATTTTAGTCGACGTACAATTCCAGAAGAGTCGCATTATTATTCCTAGGAATTGGAGACCTTGGCAATAGTGAACGCTCTCAAATATTTCCGCATTTATTTGTTGGGGATCAAATTTAAGATTGTTACCGATTGTAATGCGATTAAAATTACCAGTACAAAAAAAGATTTATTGTTTCGTATTGCTCGATGGTGAGTTTACCTACAAGATTTTACGTTTGATTTAGAGTATTGGAAGGGAAAGTATGTTGGACAAGTGGACTTCTTGAGTAGGAATCTGTCAATAGATCGTTGGGTACACGTAATTTGCGAAAGCTCGTGGCTGGGGATGGCGCAGAGTAACGATCAGGAAACGCAAGATATTATAAGCCGGGTTCGCAATAAGGAATCGATTTACAGTGTTCATTCCATATAAGCAAAAATGTCCTTTCCGATATAAGCACAAATGTTATCCCCACCACTGGGGGGAAGACCCCTCGAGACGCCCGAGGTTCGCTCGCCGGGAAATGTAACGTGACCCGGGCCTTAGTGTATCCGTGAGACAATACCAATGCAAATATAAAACTTTTTTATTTTTGACTTTTTCGTTATCAAACTTTTACCAATTAATTCTTGACATTTTTCCGATTAAAATGAGACCAAACACGACATAATTTAGACTATATTTACTGGTTTAATTGACGATAAAAGTTTCTCACGTCGAAGAGGATAGCGAGTCAAAAAGAAAGAGACGCTACGATCGTGGCAGTCGGCAAAGATCAAAAGTCTGTTCGATTGTTTGCAATACTTGAGCATTGCTAATTTTTTTATTTTCCATCCATTTCTTTATATAACTTTCTCCATCATATTCGCGACATTTTTCTGATTAAAATGAGACCAAACATGACGTAATTTGAGTTATATTTACTTCCAATATCTTATTAGAGTAAAATCATCGATGTACGCGTAACACTTGAAATTACAAGTAAATATGTCCCGAAGTATGTCGTGTTTGGTCTCATTTTAATGAGAAAAATGTTACAAATATGATGGAAAAAATTTAAACAAAAAAAAATAAAAAATAAAAAAGTTTTATTTTTGCATTAGGAGTGTCCTTTTAGTAGGTCACTGTTTGTTTACGTTCGGTCTCCATCGCTCGAAATGTAGCACCTTTACGATATACGCAAACGGCGACCGTGATATTTTTCTCTTCTGTCCTTTTCTACGTTCGGCAAGACATCAATCAATGTAGGACCTGTACGATATAAGCACAACTTCACTCCCGAAAGATTTGCTTATATAGAATATCCACTGTATAGCGATTACGATTTCGTCAAAACAAACTGTGTAGAAAAATTTTAAAGGACAACGGGTGTAAATCTATCGTAGTTATGTACCAAAGGGAAGTCGGATTGGGTTTCGACGAAACTTATGACCGTATTGCACAAAGATATTGGTTCCCGCACGCACGGAGTTTCGTAAAAAAATATTTAGACCATTGTATCGTTGCCAAGAAGCATAGCGGGCCGAAGCAGGGGTTGTTGCATTCGATATCCAAATGGGCGATTTCTTTTGACACCATTCACGGTGATTGTGTGGGCCCATTTCCTGAATCACGGGATGGTTACAAGCACATCCTGCTGTTTATGGATACTTTTACAAAATACATACGAGGTCTGTCCCAAAAGTATCCGACCTTCTTTTATTTCTTCGCACCCAACAATTTTAGCGTCATTTGTCAGGAATGATTATCAACTGCGAAGCTTTACGAACTCCCACAATATTGTCAGGAAATTTTTGTCGGGACGTCTTAGTTCACATGCAACGTGCGTTTGTTTACGAACCGTTTTTCATGTTCGTCGCATTCTGCTGTTGTGAAAAATGACGGAAAGTTCGAAGCAACGAATTTGCATCAAATTTTGCTTAAAACTCGAAAAGAGTTGTGCGGAGACCATCCAAATGATGAAGAAGGCATTTGGGGACGAGCGTATAAGCAACATACAAATCAAAGAGTGGTATAAGCGGTTCAAAGGTAGCCGCACATCTGTTGATAGTAACCCACACTCTGGGCAGCCTTCCACGACAACAACACTAATATCGAACGTGTGCGACTTGCGATCAACGAAGATCATCGACTGACTGTGCGAGAACTAGAATGTGATCTTGGAATACCGAAAACTAGTGTTTGGAAGATTTTAACTAAAAATTTGCAAATGGTTCGCAAAAACCTGCTTAAAAAGATTATAACTGGTGATGAATCGTGGGTGTATGGTTATGATCCTGAAACAAAACGACAATCTTCACAGTGGAAGCTATCGTCGGAGCCACGACCGAAAAAAACACACCAAAGATGGAGCAATATCAAGTCGTTGCTTATTGTTTTTTTCTTATTATGAGGGTGTTATACATCACGAATACGCTCCTAGAGGTCAGACGATCAACAAAGCATATTATCTTAAAGTTATGAAAAGATTACGTGACACAATTAGAAGAAAACGGTCTCAGTTTTGGTCAAGCGGTGATTGGCTTCTTCATCACGATAACGCGCCAGCGCATGCATCGAATCTTGTGCAGCAATATTTGTCGAAGCACAAAGTTGTGACTGTATAATTGGTTTTATTGTCATGTGTGTGAATGTTCGAGAGATTTCTGGAAGAATTTAGAAAGAATATTCGAACGTGAGATAGAAAGAGAAAGAGTGTGAGAGTGAGAGAGAGAGCTAGAAAACAGATGAATACTAGATGTGCGTGAAAGGGGACATAGCGGGGGTTGCCGGGCGAAGGACGCGGGAGAGCGAGGTACGATTGACAGAGTAATTGAGAGTACAAACACGTGTGAGAGTACAATAGCTTTTTTATTACATAATATATATATTAATTGTATCGTCGAAATCTTTCCAACATGGAGAAATTTCGTGTTTCAAGGAATAAATGAATTCGATTGAGGAAGAGGGTAAATAAAAATTGTTTAGACACAATTGAGCCTGAAAAACCTTGATAGTTTATTGGCTCTAGCGATTCGAATTAGGGGAAAAAGCCTTGCGGCATAAAAAACCCCTTACAAGAATATGTATTCGTTAATGATTTTACGGTGAAAATGTGTACGAGTATATACGTTGTGTGTATGTTGAGTTGATTATGGTTCGATTTGAGGAGAACAGGGTCTCGCTTAATGTTGTTCGATTTGAGTGATAATTCACATTGCATGAGATTATTCACGACGCATTTATATGTTGTACAAAAAGTCACAAAATTCTAAGAAGCTGTGTCATTCTATACACAATTGTTTTTCTAATTGAAATTGAAAAGCAGTCAAAATGACTGCCTTAGGCAATCTGTGGCAATCCAGGCCACCCTACCGTGGCCTGTTCGAGGGTGTAGGGCTCGCCCGAACAGTGTACAATGTACGTTCCAGGCCACCCTACCGTGGCCTGTTCGAGGGTGTAGGTCTCGCCCGAACAGTGTACAGTGTATGACTTAACCACCCTACCGTGGCCCATTCGAGGAGTGCAGGGTCTCGCTCGAATGGCGTCGTGAATGATTTTCGAACCACCCTGCATTGGTTATATTATGTTGCGTTACGCGGAACTTCTAACTCGCGATTAACTTCTTCGACTCTCGATCCGAACCGTGCAAGCTTCAACGTTCGACTGTGTTTTTCCTTTTACAAGGAATCGCCTAAATACCCTCGCGTTTCCGAAAGTAACGGTTAGGAAGAACTCTATGCTTTCGTTCGTTAGAATTGTTTAAAAAGAGAGAGGTACAGCTGTTAGCTGGTTTATGGTCCGTACATGTCTACGGTAAGATTCGTTCGGACCGGATATGATAAACAATAGGGTCCTTGATGACCCGTATTACAAAGTAAAAACTATTGTCGGTGGCCTACGTGCCGATCGCTTGGGCCTTGCAATAAATTGCTTAGCCGCGGCATAGGTTTCGGTTCGCGACCGAACATTAATCGCTCAAAGAGAGTGTGCAATTATTTCAAACAATACCCCTAACAAGTGGTAGCAGAACGTGGTTAGAGAGTAAAGAGATAAAGAGAATAAAATATAAAGAGAAATTAAGCGAGAGAAGCACGTGCTACGCAATGGCCGAGAATTGGAATTTCGCAGCGAGTGAGAAGCTTACTGATACAAACTATTTTATATGGAGAGAGAAAATAGAGGGTACTTTAAGATTCAAGAAAATATGGAAGAATATAATGGGTGTAAAAGCCCCAGAGAGGCCGAGAGCAGGAGAGAAAAATTACGAAGCGAAATATCATCGATGGATCGAGTGGGACGACGATAATTATGCAGCCCGGACAATTATGTTAAATACAATGAGTGAAGTTCAATTGATGAAATATAGTTTCGAAAGAAACGCCGAGACGCTATGGAATTTGGTGAAGCATAATATGGCGGCAGAAACAGAACAATTGAAGACGAAGTCCCTGAGCGAGTTAACTAACCTCAAACTGCAAAAAGAAGAGCACGTGGACCACTACGTGAATCGAGCTGAAGGATTGAGAAATAAATGCAAGCAATTGGGTAAGGATATTGAAGATTATGAATTAAAAATGTTTTTGTTGAAGGGATTGAGGTGTGAATTTGAACAAAATGCAAGAATTCTGAAAAGTCAGGCCAATGTTTCAATAAACGATATCAGATACGCTCTCAAGCAGGAACAGATGGGAAAAGAGAAGAGAAGAGACGAGAGGGCTGTAAATGACAGAGAGAGTGCGAGAAAAGTAAAAGAAAATGAGAGAGGTAAGATACATTGTTTTAACTGTGGGAAGCGAGGCCACTTTGCAGATCAATGTTACACGAAGCTGACATGCTTCAATTGCAATGGACATGGGCACATCGCTGAGGAATATAAAAGGCCAAAAACAATGGCACAAGGGAGAGGAAAAGGAAGAGGATATAGAGGAAATTAGCATGCGAGCAACAGAGGAAGAGGATGCGCTAGAAGGGAAACAGCGACGAGAACTAATGAGACTATTATGAGTGTAAAAGAGAGTGTGTGTGAGAATAGAAATGCGTATACAAATGATAGAAATAATAGGTATAATAATGAGAGACATGAAAAGGACGGTGGCGATGCATATAGTGAGTGGCTTCTGGACTCAGGTTCAATAAGCCACACGGCGAGTGACATTAATAGTTTTGACACAGTGATAGGTGATAGCAGAGAGATAACCATAGCAGATAAAGAGGGTAGAAAAATACTGTCAAAAGGAATAGGAGAGGTAGTGTTAGATCAAGCGAATGTAGAAGGTAGAATTAGGTTGTCGAATGTATTGTGCGTTCCGGATTTAAATTCAAACTTACTGTCAGTCGCAAAGTTTACAGATCGTGGGTTTAAAGTGCAATTCGATAAAGATGGCGCTATTATGTACAAAAAAAATAGTGGAGTGCGAATGAAGGCTGTGCATAAGGGAAATGAATACTATGTTCAAGGGAATATTGTGACTGTAGAAAAGCAGCTGTTACCAAGGAGGAAGACATATGGCATAGAAGACTTGGACATGCAAATAAAAGATTAATTCAGGAAATGAAAGCTGAAGATTTAGTTAAAGGAATGGAAGAGACAGACAGGATAAACAGACAATGTGAGTCATGTGTCGAGGGGAAGGCATGTCGAAAAGCACATTATGGGCTCGAGGCATGAAGAACGGTGAATATTATGGACCTATGGCATGTAGATTTGATTAGACCAGTGAGACCGTCCACGATGGGAGGTAAACTATACATTATGACTGTGGTAGATGACCGTTCAAGATATATATTTATAGAACTGCTGAATGAAAAGAGTGATACAAAGGACAAAGTGAAGAATTTAATAATTCCAAAAGAGAATGAGACTGGAATGAAATTAAAAGCAATATGTTCAGATAACGGTCGAGAATTTATAGACAGCAATCTTGAAGAGTGGCTGGAAAAGAAAGGAATAAGACATGAATTTAGCCCACCATGGACTCCGCAGTGTAATGGACTGGTTGAAAGAACTAATAGGACGATAATCGAGATGACAACATCATTGCTTTCCAACTCAAAAATACCTATTGGCTATTGGGGAGAAGCAGTATGCACCGCAGTACACATTAAGAATTGAATCAAGTCATCAGTATATGGTAAGACACCATATGAGTTGTGGAAAGGCAGAAAGCCGAATATTAAGTATATAAGGAGATTGGTATGCGTTGCTTATGTGTTGGAGAAAGGCATTAAGAAGGGAAAGTTTGAGTCAAAAACAATTAAAGGTATTTTTGTGGGGTACGCAACTAATAATACATACAGAATTTACATACCGGAAACAGGAAAAATTAAGTGCGATTACAATGTCAAATTCAATGAAGAAATAAATGGAGTTGATATACTAAAAGAAAAGAGAGTAGAAGAACAAACAATAGTCGATTTAACCTTTGAAGGGATGAACAATGAAAGAAATAATGAAGAGTGTGAAATGGGCAGAAATGTTGAAAATGATAATACGAGTGGATCAGAGAGTACAGGTGAAGATGCAGAAACAGGAAATGAAGATGAAAGATATGAAAATAGCACAAGAGATGAAGAAATGAGAGATGAAGTAGAAATTCAAAACGAGAGTCAACATATGGAAGAAGTAGAAACACCAAGAAGGAGAAGAAGACCAATAGGGTCAACTAAGGAAGCAATAAAGGTTCGTGAATATTTGGAAAGAAGGAAACGAGAGCAGAGACCAGAAGACGTGAATGTTAAAAGATCATTGAGGATTAGAAATAAAAATTCAGCAATGATGGTGACAGATTTGGAAATGCCAAAGACTGCCGAAGAGGCGGAGAATTCGGAGCAGTGGTTGGACTGGAAAAAGGCTATGGATGAAGAGATGGAATGCATGAGGAAGCATAGAGTTTGGGATATAGCACATCGACCAAAAGACAAAAGTGTGATTAACAATAAATGGATATTCAGTGTTCAGCAAAACTCGAACACAAAACAGTAGAGATATAAGGCACGTCTGGTAGCTGTTGGATATGCGCAGCGCCCAGGGTATGATTTTGATAAGACATTTGCACTGGTAGCCCGAACAGAATCTATAAGGCGAATGTTTAGTTTTACTGCGGCGAAAGGAAGAAAAATAAAAACATATGATGTGAAGACTGCTTTCCTACATGGGAGATAAGATAATGAGATATATATGCAAACGCCTGCAAGACACGACTACGAGAAGGACACAGTTTGCAAATTAAATAAAAGCATTTATGGATTGAAATAAGCTGGAAAATGTTGGAATGATTACATGACAGAAGAATTAATCAAGACTGAATTATGGCAGGCGAAAGAAGACCCTTGCGTATTTTACAAGAAAGAGGGACAACAATTTTTATACTGTACTGTGTATGTGGATGATATAGTGGTAGTGTCTAGTGATGATGAGATAGAACAACGGTATACGAGAAAAATAGGTGAAAAGATAGACAAACACGGGGAGGTTAACACTTTGACTGCCACTGCGAAGTCATATGTTTTTCCCAAGACGCCACGGCATTTGTTTAGCGTGTATCTTACTGATGGTCACCGGTGACCACCGTGGCGCCTTAGTAACGGTTGATAAGGACATATTAGAATACGCCTTCATTTATTA